ATGATGAAGGAGAAGATAACATAATTGAAACAAGTGATGATGAAAATATTTCTTTAAACTCTAATATAGATTCAATTCTAAATAATCATTTATTATCATTTAAAATTTTAGAAGCTAAATAATGAATGTCATTTTTTTATTTGTATTTTATTATATATAAGTTAATTTTATTTATTATTCATCTTTTTTATCTTTTTTAAAGTATTGTTAACGGTAAAATAAAATTTAAAAAAAAATTATTTTGGTAATGATCGTCATTTTACACAAAATGAAATAAGCCAATCACAGGGAAAGCCCGCTATGTTATGTTGCTTAAAAGCAACATAGCAAAACCGTCATTTTTAATTTTTTTGGTGTAACATTTTGATTTTACCTAATATTAATAGATTACTGTAGCAAGTTTTTTAATCGTAAATAATTGATTGGTTTAGGTTGTTAACTAATTAGTAAAAAATGTCTTTTTATATCTTGCACAAAAACTAGTCTTGTCAGCAGTGTGTACTCTTGAATTAAAAAAAAAAATTATTATTATTTGTATTTTTAATTTAAATTGTGCACAAAAAAAATCAAAAAAGCTAAACATATATTTTCGTTCTTTGCTCATTTGTGCACGTGTTCACGTATGAGGTATGATAAAAACTTGAATATTGGGTTAATATTAACTCAATTCGGTAAATCACAATAAATTAATAATACCAAAATGGTTAGAATAAAGTGTTTATGTAATTAAAGCTAATCAAATTTGGTTGATCGTGGCTGCGTTTAATTTGATTTCTTGTGCGAGTATGCTGATTGTAAATCTACTTTATTGTTGATTCAAGTTACAAATACTAGCGCCAATGACAACAATAAATGTAATATTATTTTATTTTATTACCTGCAATTTTTTTATCATCATCAAAAATGTCGTCGATTCTATTCATCATCAGGTTGGTAAAAATCACCACAAAAGCTAATGAAACAGTATCTGGCGAGGTGGTGTTTTGGTTAAATGAGAGAATTTGGTTATTTAGAATTTAATTTCATGATATAATTAAAGGTTTGCGTATATTCGTTCGTGGAATCTTTTTTCTGATGCCAAAATTAAAAAGTAGGTTTTTTGCTGCAAGTAGTCAACCATTAATGATGAATTAATTATATCCTCTCTCGTGTTATCTATTAGTAGTTCGCCAAGCAATCAAACTCAACATACGGGTCGCGTTTACTTCGTTGAAAGCTTACGTCGAAAGTTCATTTCGTCAAAAATTATTTCATCCTTGAGCCAGAGATCAAACGGGTTAGATGTGAGGAGTATGGGAAGTTAGTTAAGAAATTAGGTGAGGAAAGCGGAGTTTGTGGAGGAATTTGTTTAATGAAGTTTTTTTTTGTGACGAAATGAACATTCGACGAAACAGACTTTCGACGAAATGAATAATACAAAAATTAACTCTTTTAAATTCGACCTTGCATTCTGTTTAGGTTCGGTAGATACAAGTCTTGGAGCAACCACAACATCAAGAACAGTATATTGTAAAAGAAGCAAGTTGCATTCACGTCCAGATACTACCACTATATCAAGCACGAAATCAGTATCCTTTGATTACCAAAACTTCATCTAATGGTGTTAATTGCCTTCTTTAGTTTACGAAATAACCCATCGTTACCTTCCAAGAGGCTTTGTTACTTCTAGGAAACCATCCACAAACATTTTTTACAATTACGTATATTGTGGTTACGCTAACTATGCTAATTTGAATAATTGTAGTGTATATACTCACGTGTGGACATGGTTATCACAATCATTGTCTACAAAGGTGCCAATCTAAATGTTTGATATCTTGGACTATCTTCAAGTCGAAATCAAAACGCACTAAAAAAAAAATATGACGAAAGGATTAAACGAAAATGAGTTTATCGAAAAAAACGAAAATACAGTTGATGATCAGGGTAATCGTATATCTTTAAATTTGTTGTGTTTACAATCATTTCATTGACATTCATTATATTAAGGTTATTTTGGTTATATCGAGAGATATGGTCAAGAGAAGAGTTAGGAAGAGAGTTATTCTCCGACCAAGTCGAAAACCAAACCTTTAAATGCATTTTCGAGTAGTACAATTTAATTTATTAGACTATTTCAAAGGTTTGTCGCATGGTTGTTTCCAACTTCTTAAAATTCGAACCATTTGCTAACGAAACAACTGTCAGTGAAATGATTATTGACAACATGAATCAAACCAAACATTTATTTTTACGTTATCAAATTCGTGCCTGTTCTTATTCCTCCACTCAAACAAATAATTGTTCACAACACAACGAACGCTATTTGGAATGTAATTGTTTTTTATGTGTCAATTCTTAGTAAACGTTCTGGTCTTGGGGCAGTTCTTGTTTTAAAAATATAACTTATTTGTTCGTAAAAGAGTGTTTAATTTATTTTAAAAAGTGATTCTTTACACCCATCCAACTATATACTAAAAAATATTCAAATGTTTAAGAGCAATTTGGATCTGCGTTGGAAATAGGATCTGAAAAAAAAAAGATTGGAAATTTCTCCTGAATGCTAAAAAATTTTCTGGAAGAAAAAATTTTATCAAAAATATCTGTCAACCCTTTTTTTTAAATAAAATAATTGAATTTAGTAATAATGTGTCGCAAAAATAAAGTAATTGGATTATAATATTAATGTCTCACGGAAAATAAAGCAATTGAATTTTGTAATAGTAATGTTTCACGAAAGGTAAAATAGTACATCTTGTTCTCAAGCTTATAATGAACTTATAAAATCTTCTCTAAATGTACACCCTCTTTAAATGCATGTTCATGAGTGATGGTGATATATTCCCAAAGGGGTGTAATTGAAATTTATTAATGTGTCACAAAAGTTTAAGAATAATTACTAATATCAATAAAAAAATTTTTTTTGGTGGTGGTAATTGTACACTAGCTGCATACCATACTAATACCCGCGTACCATATATGTACTGTACTGCTATATACAAGCTGCATACCACTGCTTACTACATACCAGTCACATAGCATATACATTACTTATGTACATGCATGCTTCTAACTCATGAAGGAAGGAATAGTTTACAGGCATTTTTTAGCAATTTTACATACAAATCAAATTGCTAAATTCCATACAAAGAAGTGATTAATAATAACATCAATGATGAAAAATTATTATCAAGTAATGTTGTTGGTATTTGTCAACAATCACAACGATATCCAAAAATATTTGGCTGTGATCTTATTAAAGTTCTAAATTCCAATCTGGCCATGACTGAAATCCAATCAGGCTGAGACCTAGTCGCAGCTCAATCGACTGGAAAAAACCTAGCTGTGACTAAATGTAAATCACTGGTCACAGCTATGACTAATTGACTGGCAACACTAATCATAATGAAAATTATTCTTTCTCAATCTCGCATTTTTTTGGCCTTTCATTAATCAAAGATGTCCTGTTTTTATCATTATCACTAGAGCTCCGAAACGAGTCGGGTCATGATTTAATTGACCCGGGTTCAACATCATGTTATAATTGCCTTTAGAAGCTCAGAATTATTTTTGAAACTAGTATAGATACTAATAAACGAATAAAAATAAATGGCAAAATGACAATTTTGACAAAAAAAATCAATAATTTGATGCAAGTGTTTATGTAAAATAAAAATAATAATTTATGGTTATTATGGAAAAATTATTTGGTGATCAGTGAAAACCTTATTTTTTTATTATTGCTATTTCGTTATCATTATCATTATCATTATTATTTCATTATTATTATTACTATTGTCACCGATTAAATTTGGGAGTGTATTTTAATTGGTGATAACAATTATTTTTGTTTTATGTGGATCAGAATGAATAGGGGATTAACGAATTGATTTTGTTATTGGCGAATAATTTTGGTTAAAGATAAAAGTTTTTAAATAAAATATTTCTATTTTATTTACTTAGTTTTATTTAGTCAAAACTAATTAACTTGTAAGAAAGTTGCTTTTACATTAGGTCGAAATCAAGTTCTTTATATACATGTTCTTTACATATTAGCCCGAATTGCGCGAATCCGCCCGTTTTGAAGAATCGTCACTAATCTCTACTAAATAAAGTTAAATAAATATGAATGTGCTATGGATTAATAAATAATAATAATAATAATAATCCGCGAAACGTAACGCGAATTCAGATGATAATAAATAATTATACACGTTATTGATAAATAAATAGAATTAATAAATAAATAAAATTTAAATTGTCCCGGAATTAAAAGATTCGACCAAAAGATCTGCGTCAAAATCTAATTCCGGTATTTCATTAAATAAAGACATGGGAAATATAATATGAATAGTGGCTCTACTTCAAATTTAAGTCATCATCTTAAGAATCATAAAAATAAAATTGATGTTAATGTAAATAAACAAGCAATGATGTTGGACAGATTTCTTAAAAGTGGCAGTAATAGTGAACATATTGTGTGTACTGTATATATTTAAATCAAATAATATATCTACATTTGTAATTTTCTTAATCTGTGACCCGTTGACCCGACCCGACTCGTTCGGAGCTCTAGTGTAACATGTGTTGATGGTAAAGATGTTTTGGTATTTGATTAGGTTGAGTTAGGAAGTTTAAAAGAAGTATATGAAAAAAATCCTGTGATCACTTGGAAGGAAAAACTTAAGATTGCTCATGATATATGCCTTGGACTTCAATTTATACATGAATGTCAACTTTTTCACTGTGATGTTAGATGTGAAAATATCTTGGTCATGGGACCTGGGCTTGCAACACCAAAATTTACAAATTTCTTTCCAAGTAGAAAGCAGATGGATATTAGCAAAAAAATTCCACCATTAAATGATATCATGCCCTGGATGGCACCCGAAAAACCGGATCTCAGAGGAAGATATACACCAAATATGAGATTTATTGCTTTGGTATGCTTCTATGGGAGCTTGCATTTCAACAAGTTCCATATTTGGTGACACTTTTTTTTTATATAGATATGTTGCTTGCTACCTTCTCTGCATGTTGGTGAAAATAAGATCCACAGATCTGCCACTTATTAGAAGTAATTAATTTTCAAAGTTTTAGAAATTGTACAATTCTCACTCCTCTACAACAGACCATTTGGCTTATGAAAAATGTCCATGATAGAAAAAATCCATTATTATTATAGACAGTAATTATTACTATGCTTAAATTTTTTCAGTCTGTGTAGAGCAAGCTCTGTTATAGAGAGATCTGCTATTATTAATAGAGGGAATGAACAAATGGCATGTTGAAATACATTTATTCAAATGTACATATTTATTATTATTATTATTAGTATAATGTATTATATTGATGTTATTAATATACATCTACAACTCATTTATAATCTATTTAATATATAAAAATTTATTTATTCAGTAAAATACAAATTTTCATTAATGAAGTAAATAATCAAACAATTTTATTAACTTGGTGGTATTATTTCATTATTTAATTTTTTATAAATACAGTAAAATGGTGGTTTGTAAAATATTGTTTTTAATGAAAAAGTAGCCAAAATTATGTAATAAAGATTATACCAGAAAATTGGAAGATATTAGATTATAACATAGAAAAGTTTTGAAGTATATTGTTATGTAGGCTTTAGAGCAATTATTAAAGAAATTTACACATTTGAATGGTTTTTTCAAATAATCAAATTCCTTTTATTTTCAATTGACAAAATTCTAAAAATCTGGAAGTGTGAAACCTTATATACATATTCTCCACCTTCTACTATGCTGGATCAATATGCATGTAATGTTATGTCTATCAGATGTACTATATGAAGATAAACCCTCTCTCTAGTTTAAAAAAAATTAAATGATTGGCATTTAGCCAGCAATTTGTGGCATTAATATAAAACTCACTATTTAATAAAGTTAAATAAATAATTTTAATTGCAGAGCTATTCTATCCTTTACTACTGTGATCATTTTTTAACTACTTTATAATTAACATTATTATTTTCAGAGTTATTGATAATTTCATCATTATTTAAAATAATGATGGCATCTTCAGTAGTTTTAATGGCTCCAAATAAAATATTTCTCAACAGAAACAGAAACACTATTTTCAATCATTACCAATAACATCAAGGTTTATCCCGTTATTGGAGACATTTTCAAGAATTCAGAAGTAGTAAAAGAATCCAATCCAAGTTGAACAATTAAATCTTGACTAAGGTTTCTGGACAAAACTGCTTCTATTAGTAGCCGAAATTGCCCAAATAATTTGGGCAAAAATTATTTTTATATGCCCAAGCTACTTTTTGTTATTAGCCGAAATTGGGCGAAATTATTTTAAAGTTGTTTAAGTTAAAACAAGTTGATTCATATAGTTTTTTAATGTTCATGCTTATAAAAAATGTTGAGAAGCCCAAATTGCCCAAACTAGTTTGGGCTTTGAGAAAACAGTTTGGACCAGAAACCTTAATCTTGACTTTAGCAACTTTGACATCAACAATACTATCAGTAATGACATTGTTAAGTTGGCATTGGACAATTTTGGACATTGTCTAATAAGCCTTGTGGACATCCTGGGCAACGTGTTGAACATATCCAGTATATATATCCAATATCTACCATGTCCAATGCCAACCCTGGTAATAACATTATTAATTCCACAGCCACATCCACCACCACCATCATCAGCAATATTGTTATTATTATTATTTAGTAAAATTGATAAGAAAATCGATATTGTTTTGATTATTTAGAATATTTTCAACAGTTTCTGCTGATGTTGATGTTAATGGCTCAGGGAAATCCTTAAATAATCTGAAAAATCGTGTATAATATTTGTAATGGAAGTGTTGTGGTTAGTAAAAATAGTTAATAGAGATGATGAATCATCCCCATCATCATTTATATCACTAAATATTCTTACCAAATGGATAAGAACACTAAAAAATAATTTATAAGCAAATAAAATAATTGAACATCACCATCATTATCATATCAATACTATCTTATCTCAAGGTTCTCACATATCAAAGGTCTTAAGATCAATATTAAAAGGGATGTTTAGAAAACCATAAAGGTTAACAATTATTTATTCTTGTGACATTTTTCTTTTTATTAAAGTAAATCAATTTTTTTTTTTGAATGGACCCATGTGTGTATCAACAAATTAATTTTCCTATTATTACACTGAGAAAAAAAAAGTCAACGAAACATAAAACTATGAATGAATGAAACGTTTTTTTAAAGTAAACTCAATTTCATAAACGCTTTTTCATTGAATGAAATGTTTTTTTTTAAAGTAACTCAATTTCATAGACGTTTATTCATTTAATGAAATTTAATGGATTGATTGGCTGAAAAGACAGAAAAAATCAATCTTTTTGTTGATATTACCGGTGGACCTTGAAGGAGAAAGTAATTTTAAATTTTTACAATAATAAGTGTAATTAGAAAAAAGAAGTGAGATTAATTTTTTTTAGATTCAAGGAAAATTACCGATTCTATGACATTTAATATTAATATTTAATCTAGACAATTTTACAAGACACGTGATTAATACATGCGAGTATGTGGCACTTACGAAGAAATTTATAAAAAAATAATCGAGAGTTTATGAATGAATATACATATATTGCGGAAAAAGATTTTAAAGAAACAAACCCATAAAGAAATGTGTATATCATGCATGCATAACAACTTTTAAGAATTAATATATTAATATAGCAAAAAAATATAAAACTAAAAACATAAAACGATATTACGATTTTATGATTCAAAATGTTTTTATTTATTCATCCCTCATCGACAGATATTTACAATATTGTCATATCAAGAAAATTTTGAAAGTTCGTGTAATTCCTATATAGTTTGCATATTAATTAATTGGTGCAACAATCTGCATCCATAATTTCTAAATTTGGTAATAGATTCCCCGTTACCTTCTGGTTATAGAAATAAAATTACCAATTTAGGTAGTAAAGGGCTTAGTCGGCTCATTACAAGGCGAGGATAAGATTAGCCCCGGAATTATAGAGAATTTCTGTGTAAACTCGATAAAGTTGGGTACTTTAAACAATTGACTGGGAGGACCGACTTATCGAGTTTACCCGTGTAACCTGGACCCTATTCGATTTAGTAAATTAAAATTAATTTTTAATATTCGCTACAGAATAGAACTTAGATGGATGAATTATTTGTTTATAAAAATTTATAAAATAAATGTCAAAAAAGAATACAAATGTGTAATATGCGATTTGGAAAAAGCTGGCGCGTTCCCATGTACTTTCTTAATAATAAATTATTTTTAAGTGCATAATTAATTATGGCAATTTTTAACCGTTTAAAGCAGAAAAAAATCAATAATAATAATACGAAAAGAATGCTTGACAACTGCCAATAGTGTGAATTAATTATATGAGATGTAAAATATAAATAAATTTGGATTTTGGATCTAATTTTATTCTACAAAAAAATATTTAGACAATTATTTATTTTAATTATTAATTATAATAATAAGCGAGCTTTATAGATATAATAATAATCTATATTAGAGATATTTAAATTATAAAAGTACGATCAAAAATCAAACCAATTAAATTTATTAAATTTATTTTTTTAGTAAATTTAATATTAATATTCTATCAAACACGCTCACAAATATTAATAAATAAAACAAATTAATTCCACGTTCTTCTACTAATTAAATATATAATGAAATGCATTTAATTAAAACTTATTTAATAATTCCAATATTCTTTATAATAATATTTCATGCCTCCACAATTTCTTCATTTCCTTCATCATCATCATCATCATCATCATCATCATCATCATCATCATCATCATCATCATCATCATCATCATCGCCCTCATTGCCATTGCTATCCTCATCCCCATCATCTTCTTCGCCGCCTTTTTTCTCCTCGATATTAAAAAAAAGAAAAATTGAATCAACTTATTATCATGGTTATAATAAATCATTCATCTCTTCGTTAAGTAGCGACCAAAATAATAGTGCGATGATCGATCAACAAACCGATTACAATGATTCAAATCGAATCGTTGATATAATGGCTTTAATTTTTGGTCACATTAATTTAATTTCTTGTTTTCTCGTGGTTAGTATTTTTAAAAATTATAATTGTTTATATTATTTATAATTATTATAATTATAATTATTCATCCAATAATCTATAAATGTACAGATATATTTAGCAATCTCAAGAAAGTATAAATGCTCTTCATCTCCATCGATTTCTAATCGTGTACCTCTTTACCTAAGCATTTCCGACATATTTCAATGTATGTATTTTCATAGCGATTTTACAATATTAATCTTATTAACTAGCTAACTACTTTCATATCCCGGATTATTTACTAAATCGACCATCTTTTCAATTATTAGATTGTGTTTTTATGCCGAACTTTTTCAATTCGTTTTTTAATCATTCAAAAATATTTGGTTTATCTTGTAAATTTCTTGCCTATCTATTATTTCTACATATCAATGTCAATATGTTAATAATAACAAGTATTCCTATAATTACTTATCTGGTTAGTATTATTAAATGAATATTCTTAGAAGGAATTTTACAAAATTTATTATAACTAATTAACTGATATTATTAGCGGGTGATAAAATGCAAAAAATTTAAGCTTGGTTCTTATGACTGGTAAGAGTAATAATTTAATTACTAATCTTTACATTAAATAATCTTTGCTATCTACAGCAAATTAATCTAATACATATTAATTACTATTATTTCAGGAAATTATTGTTGATAATAATCATAACATCGATAGCGCTAACATTACCATCAATTCCTTCACTTGGCTCATCAAATTACTGGTGTCTAACAATATCAAATCCAGACTATATTTTCATCGAAGCATGTATGATCTTTGGCATATCACTAATCATAACGTGCTATTGCTGCTATAAAACTCTGAAAACAATATTTCAAGTTGATCACGACGAAATGGTAGATTCAGCGGAAAGGTTGGATCGTTGGAAAAGATTGGAGAAACAGGCGATACGAAACACTTTGATTTATGTCTTGAATTTTATGAAATGGTTGCCTATCTTACCATTTGGAATCTATATTATAATGAGATATGATAACATGTGGATGAATGTCGTCTTCATCATCGGTAAACTTGATTATTAACACTGTCGTTAGTTGATTAATATTGAGGTTTTATAAATAATATTGATTTCATTTACAATCTTCCCTCCACTTTTTTAAAAAAATTAGCATTTAATTCAGGGGGATTTTTTAATTGCATATTGTATTTGATGAACCAGGCATTTTTACGTGATTCAAAGTCAAAATCGTTCGTCTCGCTAGGAAATTATAATAATAGTAGCAGTAATAATAATAATAATAATAGTAATAATAATAATAATAGTAATAATAATAATAGTAATAATAATAATTACAATAATAGTAATAATAATAGTAATAATAATAGTAATAATAATCCCGAATGCCAATTACAATTGAAAGTGCACAAAAAAGATGATAATGACAATAATGGTAATTTCCCGGAACAAAAAAGTAATGAGGAACAGGAAAAACTGTGTTCACAAAATCATGCAAACAAATCGTCATTGCTATCTTCAAAGTCATGCGATTATGATGAAATAACTATAGCTGACATTACTACAACAGAGTTTCAAAATAATGATGATAAAGGTGAATGCGAATGTGAATGTGAATGCGAAGTTAGGGATGAAAATTTTAGACCCTCAAGTAATTCAACAATGATAATAATTCTATCCAATTATTCCTGATAACAATAAGAAAGACGATAACTAATTTCTTTAAAAAGGAGATAAATCATCTTCAATAGTATTTTTTAAAAAAATTACAATGTATAAATTTTAATTAGTGCAAAAAAAAAGATATCTTTAAACAAATATTATTAATAACAAAAGAGGTTTTGTAAATAAAATTTATAGCAGTCAAATGATGATGCTCTTTCAAACATTTTTAATGAAACTGAACTAAAAGATCTTTCCAATAGAAAAGGGTTTATTTACGAATTGAGAGAATTATTGATAAGTTTATTTCAATAGAAATGAGGACAACATCGAACGTCATGATTTTGAGTTAATACCATTCTTATATGCAACTCTTTAGATGGAATGCCTGGATTGGAAACCATACTCACTTTGCATATTTGATGCAGCTAATATTGTTTCTGTTAAAAAGCTCCCATATATTCAAATAAAAGAAGACGAAAACAAAAAATGGAACAAGACGTAGTATTAAAATTTTTAAATGATAATTTTTTGCCCAAATGTTTTATTTTTACTCATTAACTGCCGTATATTGGTTTTGGACAAATAATATTTATAAATTCATCTTTTACTGTACTATTTATAGCTTAAGTCTTGTGCAGCAGCTCTATAGATTTTAAAAATTACATATTTATCAATGCCCTAATACTAATAGGACATTTCGGTTGGCCCAATTATGCAAATGCATTTATATCAATACCAATGATAATTCGTTCAGAAATACACAAATCAACGGGAAACAACCTTTTCACCATGAAAAATAATTTTAGAGCCAGAATCAACTCTGCCTGCATGGCAGGTTCATACCTCTTATAACAATATTTTGCTAAAATATTCTAATTTTGATAAATCATCGATACCTCAATATCAGTTGGTTGTGCGGTGGCCTCCGCACTTAGCCTTGAGCCTGGCCCTGACCTAGATTGAATTTTAAAAGCATTTAAAATATCCCACTACGAAATTATGTGAAATGACCAAAATGATTATTATTTCTATTAAAATTGGCATTGAATTTTGGATTATAATGTAAGTATCTTCTTTTTCCATAAATGCAAAACTCATTGGGTGATTAAGGATCGTTTGTGTTTCTAAAATATCATTACACTACAAGTATATTTATTAGTAATATTTAAATGATGCTATCAAAAAACTTTACATGCATATATACGACCAATTATCATCGTGGATTGGATTATAATTATATAATAATGTTAGCATTGAATTATTGTACCGCAGAATTATGTTAAATTACATAGGTTTGAAATAACTCAAGATATTTTTTGACGTTGTGATCAATGTTTATGGCAAGTTTATCGATTTCGCGTTCTTTATTATCATCAAAAAACCCCCCTCCATATTCTGTAATGAATGGATGACATTAATATATTGGTGAAGTTTACATCACCATTTGCCGTGATGATATAAATATATCGGTGAAGTTGACATCACCATATACGCGATGAATGAATGATATTGATACATTAGTAATGTTGGCGAAGTTTACAACACTATTTTCCGTGGTGAATGGATGACATTAATGTATTGAATATTGGTGAAGTTTACATCATCAATATTTGACGATCTATTTTAAAGAAATTTGATGCTGTGGTAGGTAGGTATATTATATATTTAAGATGCATTAATAGATAAAACGACTCTCGTTTTTCCTTTATCATGGAAAAGATCATCTGAATACCATTCCATAACCAATCAAAGAATAATCCAAGATCTCTTTTCATGATCATTTTGAAATATTTTTAGTTTAGATGGCTTGTATATTAATATTATATATTTCATAATATTCAGAATAATCAATCATCATTAATTAAGATCGAAGTTCTATTGAGAAAACCTATTTCATGAAGTAAAATATGAGGACTACACGGTTCGTCACAGTTTAGTGGTCATAGATTTTACGATCATTACTATTAATATTAATATTAATATGATATTTTTAAAAAATATTATAATATGTCACTTATTATCATTGCTATTTTTGACTACTTATTTATTACAATTAAACCTAAATGTGTATCACAAAAAAATTTAGGAAGACAAGTATTAATTAAAAAGAGAAATTTTTGGTAGAGTGATGCCCAAGAAAAAATGAGTCATGTATATATGATTATTCTTTAGAAATTTCTAGTATTTAGCGGATATCGCGTGATTTTATTATAAAAATCATAATCCAGAAATTTTGCTTTTACGGAATAAAATGAGAAATTTGACCGCAAAACCAAAATTTTATTATTAATATATATGTTAATAATTAATGAAATTTGAAAATTGTAAAGTTTCATATTACTACATATTACTATGTATTATTTATTATAAATAACAATGAAATAACCAAGAAAAATCGTTTATTAGGAAACAATAATTATTATTGTTATTATTATGAAAAAGATATAATCATTTTAATCATTTGATAATTAATTTGTCCAATGGCAATTAAAATAGTATTATATATAGGAGTGACCACTAAACGACCAATCATGTTAAAATACGAGGAGGACATTAAAAATTTTTATTAGTTATATTTGCAACCAATGACATTTTTTTCTTCGAATTATATAAAAGTAATGGTGACTTTTATTAATGCGAATCCGTCTGTAGTGAGGCAGGTCACAAAAAATTTCTCAAGTATATTGAATCATAGTGAGTTTTTCCATGACCAGAGAAAATTTTTCTTCCCAGAAATTCTTAAGACTAATCGAGCAAAAGGTCTGTCTGGATACTGGTAGGAATGTTTCTTGAATAAATTATGTATAATATTCTAATTTTTCTTCTTTCTGAAATACATTATAACTAGCACTGACAGAAAAATGTAATCCACAAATATTTCACGGCCATTTTCACAAATACTAGTGAAATATTATGAAATTATGAAATTTATTGTAAAAAAATAGTAAAAATGGTTGTTATGCTCAATGCTTCAACTATGTGAAATCTTTGTGAATTACATTTTCTATCAGTGTGGATCTGGAAATATTATACTCTCATCAAAGTTCCTATTAATTAGTGATAGGGATACATTGGATCAGTATATACTGTTTTCATTGTCAATCTCAATTTTATGACCAAGTTTGAGTTAACTTTTTAGCTACACTTGCAAGCTTTTACTTGTCAATTAATCTGTTTTACAAATTTATACTGCTTACTGCCTCTTTCTTGTACCTAGAAATCTGTAGGCACAATTTATGGTACAAATAACAACAAATTATAATAAAAACAACAAAGGCTCCTATAGAGTTCCTATTTTATTTACTTTAATTTTTACTTTCCTTTGGTCGATTGAAGTCAGCTACACATTTACAACAATTGCTTTAACACAATACAATATGTGATAACTGTTAACTCTTTGTATAGGTGGTTGATCAGTAATAACTATTGATGCTTAATAGTTTTATAAATCAGTCTCAACACCTTGCATTTACATTTACAAAAGTTAACAAAATGTTTGCATGTAACAAAACCAAAAATCAACCCTTTGCTTTATACCATAACAAATACCCAAAAGCCCAGGGTTTTATAACCAACCAGACAATCAAACCCTACTGTATAATTTCCGACCACAAGAGTGTTTTATTAAACAAAAGAGAATTAATTATATATTCTATGTATAAATGTCTTTTCTATGTTTGGTTATGGACGTATAAATAGATGGAATATTAATGGAAATTTTTTAAAACTAAAAAAAAATTAATGAGGACTAACTGAAAAAGTCCGGAGCGGACTTTTTAGGACCAGTCCCGATTAACAATCCTAAAATGAGCACTTGTATAAGTCAAGACAATTATTGCTAAATTAGGATTTTAGCATTCTTAATGCAAGTAAAATTTATGAATTCTGGAATTAGAGAATTGATTCTGTACTGCCATCTAATTTTTTAATACGGGGAAACCCTTCGCATGGTTATCAGACTATATCGGGAAACATTTGCTATCATATGAAAGAGTGTATGAACCAGCCCATATTATATACAAAAAATTCAGTGTATAATCTGAATACTAACTAATACTGGAAGATTAATGTAATGAGACAATGGTGGTGCCAATCTTTATGTTAAAAGACAAAAAAATAGACATTGTTCTTGCGAGCACATTTAAAAATTAATTCGGAATATACTAAAATTGAAATTATAATTTTCTTAATGAACTACTCAAATCATTATTATTTACAACAATCATTGCCATCGCCAACGTCGAAAACAGCTAAAACATCAGCTTTATCTCGCTCTAAATTTGAATCTAATCTTTGACCCGACTTTTGGAAATCTTATTCGAGACGGAAATGAATAAATCTGTAGTAGTAGTAGTAGTAGTAGTAGTAAGTCAGCTAATGGATGGAAATCGGGTTTTTAGTGATGAAAAGAGAAAGTTTTGTATGGAAAATTAAAAATATTTCCTTGAGAAAATCTTTTATAAAAATATGTTTGTAAATAATGCAGATTTATATTATTTATTATATAATATTATTTATTATATAGATAACATCTATAAAAAAAAAAAATAAATAAATATGTATATACAACTAATAATTTAAATTAATGATTAAAATAATCAAATAAACATTGTTTTATTATTTGAGAAACCTAATCAATTGTTCTTCTCTCCAAATTGATTTATATTGCTTTTCAATCTTCCCTCCATATATGCGCGCGTGAGAGAACGAGAGATAAAAAGGATTTATTGATAATTTAATTTAAAAGAAAATTTAAAAACATGGATGTGAATGTCTATTTTTGAAGGTGAAATTTAATTGGTGAAGGGCGATAATAATGAAACTAAAAATGAATGAAAAATAGATGATGAAATCTTGTATATATTCTTGATGTTTGATATGCAGACAGTACATCACACATATATATATATAGTAATTATGCAAATAAATAGCCAATAGAGCCAAAAATGAACTCATACAAACACTTAAAAAGGTTCGATTAGTTTCACTGGCTGACAAAATAGTATTTATAGACTAGGTTTTATTGGTGTTTTGGGTGGTCGGCAGTTTTTAAATTGGGTTGGATTGGACAATGCGTGATTCGATGTTATAGAAATAATGCTAATTCGACGCAATTTTATAATAATAATAATGTTCCATTCTCAACAAGGATCGTGCGACCATATAGTTATGCAACAGAATTTCACAAAGAAAAATAAATAAATAAAGAAGTTTCACCTGATTTACAATAGCAACAAAAAAGATTCAGCCATTCATTATGTTTAATCAATAATTGTAACATTTAAGGATAATTTTTTTTAAAGTTGTTTGTCACCGTTGTTAATTATGCTATCTGATACGTTTTTTAAAGTACTCCGTGTTTATTTAAAGTTTTTTTGTAAGAGAGTAATTAAAAATGAATTTATTTTAGATCGTTTATTTATTATTATAATTGGAAAAAATTTTACATATAAATATTTAGATTTTTCCTATCATGCTTTTTTTTTCAATTTTTTCAATAAAATTATTTTTTAGAAAAAAAAAAAAATAAATATATTTTTTATAAAAAAATTTTTTTAAAAAAATATAATATTACTACACATCTAAGCTGGCTTCTAGTGTGTTTATGAAAAACTAAAACAAATCTGTAAATAAATAATAAATATTTTAAAAAAATTTTATCACTTTAATTTATTAAAAAAAACGAATAATGATGATGCAAAATTCAACAACAACAACATCTCCTACTCAATACAACAATAATAATGTTCAATCAATACCAAGACCACTGGCAAGAGCTAATGCTACTTATCGGAATATTCCAGCTACAAATCGTTGGTCAATGCCAGTTGTACCAACTTATCATCGACAACCAAGCACCTACAACAATAACAATCATCGTAGATCAATGGCTATAATCAACGACAATAATCATAGTAGCAGCAGTAAATCTTTAGTAATACGTAGAAGACATCGTAAATCTGCCAAAAACAGCCCATTTTTAAATCATACAGTTGACAATTTTTATAATGTTTTACGTAAAACCGAAGTTGACAAAACCGTCGAATCTGCTAAAAGTTGGGCAAATGAATACGAACAATATCGACGCTCGGTGATACATTCTGATTATACAACAAATACTGATGATTGGAACAACAACAACGTAATGATTTGCAATTAATAATTATTTAGTATCATTTTTTTTCATTTTCATTTCATTTTCATTTCATCTTCATTTTCATATTCTTTTTTGTAAATAGTTTTTTTTACTAGTTAGTTAATTTTTAGAAAATCACTTAATTGGCCTCACTTTTTGAATTTTTTTAATAATAAGAAAGTTGTAATATATAATATTAAAAATTTGTTATTATTATTGAACATTTTATTTTTTTATATATTTTTATATGGTTTTTTTTTTTAATATTTAAGGTTTTTTAGGAAGTAATATATATATATATATAATATATATTATATATATGTATATCATTAATATGGTTTTGATTGAAATATTATAATATTTGTATATTCATTGATGATTATATTTTTATTATATTATATTATCATTCATTAATAAGGTTGTGTATTGTTTTATATAAATATTTCAATAATAATAATAAAACTTCGAAAATTCAAATTTAATTAATCATATGATTTTGATTTTAATTGGCTGATAAACATAAATTCATGATAATTATCATCATCCTTCCTGACAACAATTACAGAACAAAGAAATAAAAAGCAAACTCTTTTTTACTCATGTTCAAAATCATTTTTTTTATTTAAGCCTTACTACTTTTTATTATAAAGTATTTATATATTCAAATAAAAAACATGGCCTCCTCTTTGCACACAAAACAATTATCTAGAACAAGTGAAATTTTGACATTATTGGAAAAACGTTCATTAGGAACTTTACAACCAAAAAATACAAACCAAATTTATCAAGCTGCTATTAAATTTAATGGTGATTTTGAATTCTCGAGGTTTTTTTTCAATTATATCATTTATCGGATTATTTTATATCATTTCTTTCAGTTACTTCATCATTTTCTCTTGGCCAATTAATGGAATCATAGAGACTTGAAAGGCCATTTCTCTTGTGTCAATTCATTAAGGTAAAAGAGTCCGTTTTGATTTTTTTTTTTTTGGAAGATGATTTTCTCTCCAACGATCTAATTATCTATGTCTCTATGTATGCATGTATATTTAATTAATCAATCGATCAATCAATTAATTGTTAATAGTTTTAGTCATGATGGAGGAAATTATCTTATTTCTGGAAGTGATGGTAATTGTCACAAATATATATTTATGTGCTATTAATAAATTTAATTAATTAATTCCGTTATTACCGTTTTTTAATGATTAGATAGAAGAATACTTTTATGGGATACGTATGATGACATCGAATCAATCAAACCAAAGAAATGTTTTAAAGCACATTCTGTAAGCCTTTAATATCAATCATATATCGAAATTACGGTATAATAAAATAATTTTTATTATTCTATTCTTAGAGTAATGTATTCTCGGCAATTTTTGATTCTTCTAATAAACACATTTTATCGTAAGTTATTAATCAATTTCTAAGCAAGACCTTTAAATCAAATTTCTCATTTATAATTTGCCATTAAATTTTGGGAAAAGATGTGGAAATGATAATACAATATTTTACTATGATGTTGAGTATAGTAAATGTATGTACGCGCTATTTCACATCGTTTATTATATCCATTAATAATATATGAACTTTACATCTTTACACTCATATCTAGGTGACAATAGTAACCTGACAGTTGATAAGTTCGTATCACATTTAGATGCTGTACAATCTATAGCGTTTGATCCCTTTAACGATAATATATTTTTATCTGCAAGGTAATTTATAATTCGTTATCAATATTATTATTAATTGCTGAATTTTTATGTAATTAATGTATGTGTATATATATATATATATATACATATATAAATATATATGTTTCTCGTTTAAAATCATAAAGTCAAGATGGTATGTGATCAAATAACTAACTAATTAATCAATCGAGTTTTTTTTACATTATAAATTAAAATGTTATTTGTCTATTTATTTATTTATAAAGGAACTGTTAAATTATGGGACATAAGAAAAGGCAAAAATCATTGTGGAGAAATTGTGGTTTTTGATAGCATGACATTTGTCCAATTCAGCCCTGTAACTGAAAGACAATTTGTTACAAGCAGTAACTCTGGTAAAGTTTTGTAAGTAAAAGAAAGTGGATAAAGTGGGTGGGAAATGATGAATGAGGTGAAGTAAGAGGAGGGAAAATGGTTTATTAAGGAAATAACTTTATTTAACCACTCACACCGGACCTCTCGTATTTATATATATATATATATATAGATTAAGAGATATAAGAACAGCTTTTAGCAAGAAAAGTAGAATCCCATTTTTAGATGATAGCGATGACATACTAGTAAAAGTAGGCACTATTTATTACCAGTCATGTTATAATTAAACCAGATTTCTAATATTTCTCGATCCAATAATTCATAATTTAACATTTCAATTCATATCATACCACACCGTAATATTCCATTTCCATTTAGTATATAACGACATTATCAAAAAATAATAAAACTGCAAGGCCTGATATAAGTTCAGTAACGTTTCATCCTTCAGGTACTATGTTATGCGCGATGATAAGTAGATATCATCCAACTTTATATGACGTAGCTGAAGAAACTCCGTTATGTATATTTTCATCCAATTACAACAAAGAATCTAATACTTGCTATTCCAATAAGGGCACATTTAAGGTAGTTGGTTAATTATGAAAATAAATATTATTTGGATTTTCTTTACATCGTTAATTGTTATATATGTGTGTGCGTGTATGTAGCAAGCACATTTTGGTGGACCAAATGGCGATTATATATTAACTGGAAGGTAAAGATTATCACCAAGAATTAATAACTATTGTTATTATTAGTTAATGATGAATTAATATATAAAGTTTATTTATTTTTTAGTGATGACTTCAGAGTTTATGTGTGGAAAATTCCAGATTTAAATCTTTTAAAAGCAAATAAAGAAATATCACCGACTACAGAAAATGATTCAAAAGATGTTATACGTATGTGTAATACAATACAATACAATTCTATATGATTTATTAATTATCAACTATAATTATTATTCTTATTTATTTTAGAATTTTCTGATAAAGAAGATAGCATAATAAAAATTTATGAAAATTCAAACCCCGAATATGTTCTTGGAGGTATTTTATCATTCATTATAATATAATAATGATTTTATTAGGAAAATCATTTACTTACATTGTTTAATTTTAATTTAGGCCATCGGTCAATAGTAAATACTGTGCTATGGCATCCACACTTACCATACATATTTTCATCAGGTAGAAATTCATTGCATATTAATGTTCATTAATAATGATTTATTTTATTAATGATTAATATCTATAATATTTAATTGATTAAAAATTAGGCGTAGAAAAACTTATTAAAATTTATTCAGCTTTTCCATTTTCTGATAATGACAATGAACCGAAAGAAGCTTTTAAGCAAAGAGAAAAATACCCACCATCATCATTATATCATATATTCGGTTTATCTAACTCTGATTTGAGTGATAGCATTGAAGAAGACGTGGACACATTAAGATTTTTCGATAATATAGTACGTAAACATTTATTGTTATTGAAATGGAGTTTTCCAAAAAAAAAAAAAAATTATATTATTTAATAATTTTATAAACTCTTTATAATCATTGCACCATTGTGATTGTTAGCTTAGAATTGAACAAAATAATGATCCATACTGGGGCCCAAATTCTAATAATAATAATAGCAGCACTAGTAGCAATAGTACCACTAATCCATTTATTAATCAATTGCCATGGGATTGGCACAATCGTAATTTTCACAATCATTTCACTTTTCCAACATTCGAAGATTTTAATAGATTAATAAGTTCTAACACGAACAGCACTATTTTTGGTGAAGATGATGATTATCGCTCATTTATTCTTGATGAAGATGAAGATGATTACATTTCAAACTTATATGAAGAAGAAGAAGCTGATGATGATGATGATGAAGGAGATGATTATGCTTTAAGTTTTGAAAGATTTTTTGCAGTTACAAGAGAAATAGTTGGAGGCCAAATGAGAAGAGATAGCAGCTTCACTATGGATTTGTAAATGCCATTAGTTTTATTTATTGTTGTTGTTATTATTGTTATTGTTATTGCTATATTTATTTTAACTTTATTATTTTGATTATTAGCAATTTCCGAAATCCATCAGAAGAACGAGAATCAAGAAATAGCACAACCAACAATAGCAATAACAATGACAATGAAGATAACAATGATAATAATAACAACAAAGTTAATAGTAACAAAGATATAGCAATAAAGATAACAACAATGAACAAGGAAGGCAAAAACAACAACGCAAGCTTGAACTTTTAACAATAAAAAAATATCAGTTGGTACCATTTCAGGAATTTCACATTTGTGTGGGCGATTGCTGAGCGAGAAGGAATTATAAAAGCTCATGAAATACCTAGTTATATATATGTAATTTTTGATATTAACGAACAACAATATTAATAATGAATGAAATTTACGAGAACGCAACGTGAGCTTTTGCTTTTTTACGTATTACACTATCATGCATGCCATGCTACGGGAGATTAAAATTTTATTTATTTTAGTATCGCGTTGACATTAAAGTTAAGTTGGTTTGTATTGCGTATTCGTCGCAAAGAGCAAAAAAATCACATCACTTTGGTCAAGGCAATAATAAATAGGAAGGCCCGAATTTTTTCTCTAAATTTTCATAGATATTCTTTGGAGCATCAAAGTTAGCACTGGATGTGAAGAATCCTAGTGTCCATGATAAATGATGCTGTTTTTAATAAAATAGACTATTTCGTGGCCAAATGATTCATTGATCGAGTAGTCTAATAAATTACTACATAAACATATAAATAGACCCGCTACCCCACTTGTAGACCAAAAATTGTGCATCATACTTGCTTTTCACGTTGCATTCGAACTCGGGGGTTAAAGTACATGGTGCCAAAATGGCATTCTATGGTTTGGTTTTACACGTTGCATTCAAATGTGAGGGTTAAGGAATACTCCACATTATTATCCATTTGTTGAGAAAAAATTTGTTTGTTTGTTTTTTATTTATTTTAATGATTAAAGAGTCATTACGCGAACAAAGAATTTAATAAATTTAATAAAAGTCTAATTCCATTTGAGATATAGATGGCTGAAAAGATGGAAATTCCCTTGATGGATGTGTATAATTGATGAAAAGAAACATGTATATCATCATTTATATAATGGTAATGATAACATTAAGAAGTTTATGAACAGATAATAAATATTTATTTAATTATATCTTGTAATAAATTTAATCTTTTCCATCGGGATACTCGATAACTATATTATTGTTGTATTATTATAATTATGAGCTGTACCCTTAGATGCAAGCTTCCGTCCTCTCTCAATTTGTTCCATCCTTCCTGTCCTTCCACCATCATCTAATAAAAAACATATACATAGAAAAAAAATAAAGAATTAGTAACGAAAGAGCCACGCACTGCCAAGGGTGCACGATTGATGATAAATTACATATTTATATGAAAACACATTTTTACCACTTGGTGCTTCGGAACCAATTAATTGTTTACGATTAAAAGCTTGGTTTTTTTGCTCTTATGGTAATCTACTAATACTAATAATTTAATGCATATGTACAAAGACCAAGATCCCATTTTTGGTTATTTATATCCTGGCCAATGACCCGTGACAAGAATTTGGCATTTCGTAATGAAGCAAACCTGCTATATATATTATTAATATAGCTTTGTAAAAACATCTTGTATTTATATTCAAAAATTTATATAAGATTCCTTTATTTCAAGATCTCTCTTGTAAAGATAAAACAATTGGGCCAGTTTCGAAGTTAAACCAAGTATCAATTCAGTCCCAGTTTCGAAATTAAAACAAGTGTCAAATCAGTCCCAGTTTTGAATCGGTTTTAAAATTAAAACAAGGGTCAAATTGGACCAGTTTGTACCAAGAAACGAAGGCTTGCTTTTTTTTATTTTTAAAATTCTTAACTACAAAATGAATTATCTGTAAAGGACTTAGTATATAAATTCTAAGCAATAATGCTAGTAGTGGTGTATAACGAAGATGAAAAGTTATAACCTTTACCTAAATAAGTAGGCAGTATAGCAGCAGTAGTGATAGTAGCAATAGTTGCCATAGTGCTTGATGAAAAATGCAACAATGAATTTTTTAGAAGATCAGTCATGCATAATTTTCATATGACAACAAACACAAAGAGACTAAATTTGATTTTGTAAAAGAGTTTCGATTCCATTTATTAAATTCTGAAAAGTGTTTTGTATTCCCAAAATATGTGTTTACAACGTAACAACGCTATTTTTTGCAAATACTTGTAACATTGATGTGCTTGCATATTACTAAATGTAATTTTTGTCAAAATTCAGATGTTTATTAACACAATTTCTAAAAATTTATTGTAAACACAAAAATTTTTGTTACGTTGTAGATAAGGTTCTCAGGATAATAATCATTTTGGATTTTTTCTGTGGCTATTCTGTTTCCAGAGTTATAAAATTTTTGAGAAATTCTATTAAAATTGATATTAGTATATTAATATATACTGTATATATACAAAAGAAAATTAAATTTAATAAAAATTTGATCTGCATGTTTGCGTGACACGAAATCCTTACTATTTGATTTTATTATTTGGAGACTGGACCAACAAAACACGGTTCTGGGCTCCTTGACTCAAAATTGAGCTTTTTGTATCAAATTAATCAGCAATTCAAGGATTATATTTTGGTACAATTTTTGATGTGTAAAAGTATAATACAGAAACATATAAAATGAGATTGAATCTTTTTATATTTTTAGGTGACCAAATTTAAAAATAAATGATCAGCAAAGAAATTTCTTAAAATGTAAAATTTTAAAATTTATTTTTAAGGTTTAGAAAAATGAACGTTTTTGAAAGGATCCTCAACATGCTGTCTTATATTTTTGTACAAATATTCTTTTATATCCCTTTACAATGAAGCTATGGATATAATGCTAAGCTGTTTATTTGGGTCAAAAATAATCTCTGATTTTAAAAGTTTAATGCAAGTTTCCTCACCACCAGCCATTACTGACACATATACTTTTCCTATTTCTTCTTCAAGTGTTCTACTAAATCTAAAATGGTGGTATTTTTTAATATTTGCTAATTTGGAAAATTTTCCATCAAAAAATGATTGAAAATCATACCATTTCCACTCAGTTTCTTTTTTAAATAGCAAAGCAGAATTTCCTACTGCTGAAGTATTGACCATAGTTTCAATATCATTGATTGTGTTAATAGAAGTATATTTATATTTTTTTTTAATATTCCCAAAGAAACCATCACAATGAAATTTGGTATGTCCAGGAATCATAAAATTTACACTAATTTCTTTGTAACAACCTATCATTATTAGCCAAGTCCAGAACCAAAGAGATAAGTTATTTTTATTTTGACCACCACAATTATCACATGTTATTTGTAATTTGTCTATTCCTCCACATGCTAATCTATTTAGCGAATGATAAACCATGTTCAAAGTAGAATTTGAACCCTTTGTAGTTCCTTGAGGCAACTCATCTTCACCAATAAGATAATTTAATTGGATATTATTTCCATGGTCAGTTCTACATACACCAAATAAATACACTTTATATCCAGCTTTAAAATACATGGAACCTGGTTGTTGTGGTAAATGTGGAATAGATATATTTTGGGCCCAATCATAAAGAATATTTGAAACATTACCATACTTATCACCTTTCTCAATGTTTTTAATAAAATAATCTCTTTCACATTTAGCCAAACTTGTATGTTCTTCATATTTCTTTTTAATCTCTTCAAAATCTGCTTCATTTGATTTGGATTTTAGTTGAGCTTTAAAATCTGTACATGCATCACACATGTCAGTTGCTAGTGATTGGAATTTTAAATGTGGCATTAACTGTTTCCAAATTCTGCAAAAACTTTTTAAGGAGATAACTTCATTGTCAAATTCATTTAAATAATTTTCTCTATATTTTTGGTAAACTGAGGTGTATGTTGTATTAGTAGGTAGATAAATGAAAACTTCTGAATCTTTACGGCTTCACATTGGTGAAGGGAGTCCATTTAATGTTGCATAATTTTCTAAAAAATTTTTAACTGAGATTGAAATTTCCTCAGTTATTGTACTTTAGAATTCCATTCAGGCCTACGACCTGTGTTTCCATGAATGCATTCATCAAGTCCAAATTTTTTATAGTGATCTTTTATGTTATCAAAAACCTCTTTTTTAATTCCACATAATTTCATAAAAACAGTTTGGCATATTTTTATTGAACCATTGAAATTATAACGATACCTAGTTATTTTTTTTGTAGAATTACCATCATTACTCCTTCCTGAAAGATCCCAATCATCAATTGAGTTTTAATAAACAAATCCATTTCTTTTTTATCTAAAGCTTTTAAATGAATCAAACGCTTAAAAAAGTGCCTAAATCCAATTTTTTCAAAGCAAGAGCAGAAGTTTTTTAACTTTCTAGGCCGAAGACAAGTGCAATTAGCAGAACTAGAAAAAAATTCCTTTATTTCAGCAACTGTATTAAATACTAACTCATTATCTTCATATTCTTCTAAACCATATTCAATTAAATCAAAAAAAATATTGTTATTTTCAGCAGCCATTGTTAATATTATATTAATATTAATTTTTATTTTGAATTTAATTTTTAGTTTTTATTTGGAGATCATTTAAATGTGTACTACATAGATCTAAAAATAGGGGGCTTTTTTGTTTTTGTGATTTTTCTCAAAATTAAAAATTAGTTTGAGAACCGTGTTTTGTTGGTCCTGCCCCCATATCAGGATGTTGCACCGCCAACATACTTGCTTGTGTTTTAAATTGTTTCATTTTGTTGAGCATTAAATAGGTGGAGTTTCACCTGATCTCTATATCAAGTTGTGGTGATAAGAATTCAATTGATTGTGAATGAAATATTTGCTTAAAATCCTCCATAAGATTAATAGAGTTACAAATTTTTTTCATGAAAGTGCATACTTTTTTAATTGTGTCATTGTGAACTT